ACTTCCTTTTCGAGACCTTCTTTTGTATTATAAAGCCCAAAAGCACGGTCTTGATGATTCCCCTCTTAGTCGATTGATGGTGGTTGGATTTCGGGTTCAGATACTGTCCTGTGTGAGTGAGTTTTCGATATACAGATGTTTGACATTTAGTGTCAGTCCTCTTCACCAATACGTCTAAAATGGCGATTCGTTGTGGACTTCTTTCTCCATTCTAGTAATTCCATGATTACTTCGGATAGCTTCTCCTGTATGATTAGTGTAGAGGCTTTCCACGTCGAAACTGATCAGTTGATCCTGCTCTTTGATTTCCTCTAGTAGTTCAACGAAATGCCTTGAATTTTTCACAAAAGATGATGTTTTACCTTGCAGTGGTTTTATTATTGGTAGTGAAATCTAGGCAAGTTCTGAGTGGCTGAATCTCTGAGCGGAACATCCTTTTTGTGGATTTTGGGTAGTCCATACAAGTGAGAGAGCTAACTGCATGTGCGATGTTAACGATGATCTGTCTTTTTCCGTAAAATAGACTTGGTGTTTTTTCATAGTCTGGTACAACTTCCTTTCAACTGATGCAGCAGGGTATCTTACCATCTTCGTGTATTTTCCTTTCCTTCTATTCATAGAGATCAGCTGAACTACTAGGGGAAATTGAAGTCAGAAAGCAGGATCAACTGATCAGTTCCGAAGTTGAAAGCCTCTACACCAACGTTCCTGTCGAAGAACTTCAAATAAGCAGAAGAAGCTATCCGAAGATGGGGACCTGAAAGATAGAACAAACTTACCGATACAAGTAATAATAGAATCACTAGGAAGCTGTGTACTATACTGCTAATTTCAACTGAAGGACGAATTCTTTACGCAAGATGAGGGACTGCCAATGGGATCGCCACTTTCACCTTTTATAGCCAATATATATATGGAGTGGTTTGAAACTCCTCATTCCAGTTCTCTGTCTTTTCTGAGGCATTTCATTTTGTATGTCCATGAAGCATTCATTCCCCAATAATCATAAACCCTAATACTATGAGCCACCACCCTTTCATAAAGTGACACTGTTTATGAGTTCTTTTGAAAGTGAGTTTTGTTTTCAGGGCGATTCTGGGGGCCCATTGATTTATCAACTGGAAAATGGACGATGGGTGACCATTGGAGTCGTGTCCTGGGGTTTAGGATGTGGAAACAAAGGTAGCCCAGGGGTATACACGAAAGTCAGCAACTATCTTCCTTGGATCATAAAAAATACTATGTCTAAATGATACTGAGTCTGATCCAGTAAAGAGTTATGAAGTTGAATTAGTTTTCGTTCTCCTGCGCTCTGTACAGAAAACAAATATTTTTTGTTGATCACATAGATGATCTTCATGGTTACTCATGCTTCTTAACACCTCGACACAAGTTTCGGTCACCAAGTTAGCATTTTCAAGAGGAAGATCGAATAATTTGATCTTCCTCTTGAAAATGGTCATCAAAACACGTGTCTGTTTAAAAAAAAACTGTTCAAAATCTGTTTTTCCGTTAATCAGCTGCTGATCAGCCGTTAATCAGCTGTCTATGTGTTATTAATGAGAAAAACTCCAGTAATATTCATTACTACACTAAAGGTTTGTTTGAAGGTGATTGACAATGTTTCATGATGAATTTCACTAGTTCGGACTTACAACTGACTGTTATGGAGGAAACAAGTATATCTGAGGCACCAGTCAATCTGATAATAACACTGTTGATCTTCAAACAAGACTCAACCTCTAACGGAAGCAAGAAACTCTTTGGAAGGTTCGAAATAGATGAACATTTCAANCAAATTGTTATTCTACAGAGTTTCTGAAAAAATAGTGCACACCACACATCAGAAAATTGTTTTTTCAGACTCGCTGACTTCGAGGAGATTATCAATTCGACATGTATGTATGTATCATTGTAACTGCATTAGTTTGATATACAGTGTGACTCACTTAAGATGTAGACAGACACCCCTGTATTTTAGTAATTTTTTTGAAAGCAAATATTTGATTTTCGGTACAGGCGTAGACCTTCATGGGCTGCATTTTTGCAATACTTAACCCGAGTGACATCCTTAATCCTAGCCTACTGCAAAAAGAGCAAATTCTCGTTATTTTGTTTCGCGTTGGAAATATCGAAATAAGTTATTTGAAAAAATTACTGGGAAATCGATTTTGACCCTGCATACCAACTTTCAACGCAAAATTCGAATTTTGAATTTGTTTTGTAATGTTCATATTCAAGTCCGATTTTCAATTAATGGTCCTTAATGAGAGGCTACAGAAATCATAAATTCGTTATGATGTAATGGTAACGGAAAACGAAATTATTATTCATCAATCAAAACTAAAAAATAAATGTTCCTCGGGCCCAGATAAACTCTCTGTGAAAACAAAAAAGTGAACATGAATACTCATCAATCCATAAAATCAATTTATGTCTTACAAGTGAAAACATTCCAAAACAATGGAAAGAATCACTCATCACTGTGATTTTAAAGACAGGTAACCGTTGTCGAATAAATAACTACAGACCAAATCCGTCAACAATCTAGCAAAAAACTTTGAACAAGTAGTTAAAAAAAGATTGACGAAGTTTTTTCGCAGACATAACGTTATTACTGACAGGTAGTATGGTTTCATCCAAAATTCAAACACTGAGAACGCAGAAGTTGATTTTCTAGAGCAAACAGTCGAGGCCCTGGACAAATCATCGAAATGCATAGCAGTTTTTCTAGACATCGCTAAGGTCTTTGACACAGTATTACACGAAATTCTACCAAACAAATTGAGTCACTACGGCAATCGTGGTCTCACACAAATTCTTATGACCAATTATTTAACAAATAGAGTCCATACAGTGAAAATTGGGAATGAGGTAAGTTTGGAGTCAATAGTGAAAATCGGGGTGCCTCAAGGAACAGTGTTGGTCCCAATACTGTTTCTTGTACACATGAACAATATATCAAAAATAGTTGGTCTAGGATACCTTATTTGTTATGCTGACGACTCAGCCTTGATCTGCGCAGGAAAGAATTGGGAGGATGTTAAACACACAACCGAAGCAAATTTACAGAATATATATAAGCATGGTTGAATTTACTTACTCTGAATATTGGTAACACTAAATTTGGTCATTAGTCAACCACATAATTCATCTCTGAAACTACACTCTAACTGGTCCAAAAATGTATGTGGGTGTTCTACTATTAAAAAAGTATCATCAATTAAATATTTAAGGGTAGTCCTAGACCAACCATGGTCTAACGATGGTCTGGTCATATCATGCATGTAAACAAACGCCTTGGAACACTTATACACAGTTTTTATCCTCTAAGAGACATCCGCTCCAGAAAAAAACCTCATGATGCTCTACAACTCCCTAGTCGAATCAATTCTGTCTTACTGCATCACAACATGGGGTGGAGCTCTCAACAACATACTGAACATTATAAAAACAACACAAAACACATTATTGAAAATCATCCTGAAAAAAAAACGTTTTTTCACCGATAAGCTATATCAGGAAGCAAATAGATTTAATTTCAAACTATTATACACTAACCATTGTTTGAAGAGAATGTACATAAATCAAAACAAATTCAACCAGAAAAATACTAGGAAAAACAGGTCTAACACAAACATGAATGTTAATATCCAATCCTTTAAAGAAACATTAACACAAAGAACATTCTTTTTTTTCGCTCTTAAATTTTTCAATGCATCACCAATTGACTTAAAACAGATTTCAAAAATATAGAAATACAATATTGAAACAAAAAAATATGTTAGGAATTATTCTAAGAAATTATATGATATAGTGAATACAAAATCAATCTGAAAAAAAAACCAAGTGTTGACAGCCTCTCCCCTGTGTTGATCACATACGGAAGTAAAATATTCAATAT